ATCCCTTTTGTTCCCTCTCCCCTCTATATTACAGAGAAAACCCACCCACACACTCACCTACATTACACAACGATAACCAACAACTGAACAGGCCACATGCAAAATATCACTGAAGGAGATGCAAAACAACAACAAAGAGACACAGCCGCATCCTTTGTAGCTGTTCTGTGTCTCTATCTGTCTGAGCATCTTGCTCCTGATCAGTAAGGGGGTGGGGGCCTTTTACATGCCTGCACCCAGGGGCCCATTGTCTCATAATCCATCCTTCTTGACAAGGAGTTAACGAGTCCTGAGTAAATAGATATTCAGTATTCAGCAGTAAATATGAGTATGAAAGAGCATATTCACATAGCAGCGTGTCATGTAAACGGATATGTGGGCAAAGTGTAAGTGTATGCACAAACAAGTGCAAGTCTGAACATTTGACAATGTTTTTGTCAAGGTCCGTTTGAAAACCCTATGTAGGCTTTGGTTGCCTAGAGATTAGACTTGTAAGAAAGGTAGAAATGGAATCCATAGTGATTAGAGTCTTTGTTGCATTGCCAGTATTATGTGATTGTACTGAGGGGGTGAAAACAGCATTCTTCTTCTTTCTTTTTTTTAGCTTTGATTGTATTATTCTGTTTTGTGTCACATTAACTTCTGCTATGACAAGTGAATTATCCTGTGGCCTGACTCACATCTAACAACTGCCAGTATGTATAATTAAATAAGGAAAATGCCGCTGTGATAACAGATTATTTCTATGTGAAATGAATTTCATAAAAAGCATAAAGGAGGAAAAAAATATTTTTCAAAAACCACAACCAAGTACACTTTAGTATTTGTAGCGGTGTGCATCTGTCCCTTACGTATCCAGATACATGGGTTACGAAATGATTCAGGGACATTGTGTTTTAATATGGAACAATTCAGTGAGATTTGATTACATACATTTTCTCAAATACCAGGGAGCCAAGCTTCAGTCAACCGATTTATAACTTAAGAATCGGACCATCTACTGGTTCATGGCACATTTACATCGATCCTGGGGTCAAAGTACCGATGTAGCTGCATCTTCAACTTTAAAACCAGTTTCGGTAAAGCTTTACACCCCTAAGTATTTATATAATAAATTACTGCACCACAGCCGTGAACAGGAGTAGTAAATATGTCCGTGTGAGATAAGAGATCGTGAGGAGCTACTAAAACACACTCAGCCTCCTTTAGCAGATTATGCTTGTGGCGTCCAGCTACACCTCCCCACAATGTAACAGTTCACAGTAATGTAATAGAAGTAAATGTAATAACACCAGTCAATAAGGAAATCAAATCCAGGAGCAGTCATACAATATTGTTTCTACCAGTAATGCAATAATGTGTCCATGTAATGCAACATCGACTAGATACTCTTCTGTATTTTGCAACTTTTTGTAATACAAATGAGGCGCCGAGTCAATATTCAGCCATGTTTTAAGTAATGAAGTGACCAAATCAAAAAGTGGCCACCGTGGCATCAAAAGATCCCTTATCTGCATTTAGACTTCATTAAAGCAGGAGGGGTAACAAGGCTGTGCTTCTCTCACCGCTGAACAAAAATAATTCAGGCCATCTATCAGGACCGCTGACACATCCTGCATGACTCTTAACATCTAATGCAAGTATGAAAGATGTTAAAAGTAGGGGATGTGACATGTATGCTTGTTTAAACCTGCCTAAAATGTGAGAGGCGGGGGGTAGGGATGTTTATCAGTGAGGTGCAGTTTTGGGTTGCATTTTGAAATATTACGTAAGTGCCAAATGAAAACTGCTAAGTTATAATGTACTGAATAAAAAGGAACTCAAGTGATTCAACTTTGGCATTTAGTTATGAAACACAAAAATTTTAAACATTTCAGATGTTTCCTCTTTTACTTTAAGTATGGCAGCAGTTTGTGGTGTTTATATGCTGTTAAAGATCCCCTCCAGACATGTATTAAAAGGTCCAGTGTATAACAGGATCTACTGGCAGAGGATGTTTTCATTAGAGTGTAATCACCTGAAAATAAGAATCTTTGTGTTTTTGTTACCTTAGAATAAGGCATTTTATATCTACAGAGGGAGTGGGTCTGCAATATTGAAACACCAGTAGCCCAGAATGGACAAACCAAACACTGGCTCTAGATATGGGAGGAGAACAATTGGAACAATAATGTGTGTCTCATATTTTCTTTCTACAAAAACACCACATCTACTCCTTCTACTTCATTAAAATTTCCAGAATCTCTGAATATGCAAATGTTGTTCATTTCTAAAGTTTTGCTG